TTTCTTTCTGAATTTGAGTGGCACATGGATCAAAGTAGTTGTTACAGATCACGTTATGTATGCCGAATGATCCGTAACCGAAGAATGACTGTACAACTATAATCTAGGAAATGAATAGTAAAAACTGTTTGCAACACCGTTTTGGTCAGTGAAGCCGTTGGATTGCTCGCAGAATTCCCAAACACAGAAGAGTAGTAAAGTGATATGATCCAGCCCTCCGTATTTCAAAGCATGCAGAAAACTGCCTTCACAAGTTCGACTGCAAGAATGTGTAGTTCCTTCTGAGAGCAAGTTCAGCGACTGTGAAATATTTCTAGAAGTATGGTATTTCAACGAAACGTCAATTGATAGACGTCTGGGTATAGACTAAATCTACAATCTGCTTAGGAAGAAAACAAGTATCCAGCGACAAAGTGCAAATCACCCATGTAAATCAATAATAAAGCGCAGTTTTGCAGTAACGAATAGTGCAATTTCTCTCCGACAAATATTCTACACCAACGTGACTGAATGATACGTAGGATTAAGCAAGTCAAAGCGCGATGAAGATCTTTTCCCAAACAATAGGAAAACACTCAATATCGACAAAACACTACTTGAACATTCGTTTAACATTTTCATATGCTTCACTTCTTGAAGAAATTAGTGCTGAGTGAGTAAGCAAGCCTAGTGTTGAAAAATCCATGACAAAATACCAAAGCTCATGAAAATCTCTACTACTATCATCCTCATCTCGAGCTACAAATCGTTTCCATCGTTTCATATACCTAACATCTTTTTTTTCAGAGTTATATGCATTCCGTTGCATTAAAATATTGCCACCGTCAATGTTATTCCATGTAGATTTTGATGCATGAGGAAATTTACTCCTTTGGACCAGAATATCTTCACTAAGTTGTCCGCTTTCATCCACCCAATGCTTCTGCAGCAGGAAAAATATTTCGAACCAAAACAAGTCATATTACTTGATTAGAATCTCATTTTATTGACCTTATGAAAATTCCCACCGAAGTTCTCTGATTAGGAAATATATGAATGCTTAAAGTGAACTGAGAATGTTCAGTCTATTGTCAGCTTTTTCTGAGCCATGGCAAGATGGTCTGCATTTGACACTTCTTAGTGTGACTATTTTAATGAAGGCATTCGTTAAACAGCGTGGATGACGTAGATTTGATAGCCAAAAGAAAAAATTCATTTATGAAGACCTTGAAAAGTATTATTTTGTAGCAGAACAGTATCAGAGTAACCAAAACTCACTTTATCCTTTTCTGATTCTCATCCATAGATTTTATGTGTGCTTAGCACCAACGGAACAACAGGTCCTTCTAGAATATCTACAGAGACATTACTAGATTTATTTATTTTGCTGAACTATGAAATATAAGTGAGAAAAGATTATAGGACGGTGGAGTTTTGGATTCTATTTAGTTTGCAGTAGACATAATATCCTCAGTAAAGAACAATTTCTTAAGAGTCTGGAAGTAACTTACAGCAGCATCTTTCTGACAAGCCATTAAATATGACATAAAGTCAAAGTCAGTGAGGATGGAACCACAATTTTTTGTCTACATTTTGGCAACTAAGGAAAATAATAAGTAAAAAAGTCTTTCGTGTAGATTTCGTGATGACGTTTTTCTCACTCTTCGGTTATACTAATTATAGAATTTAGGTATTGTAATAGGAATCAATTCCATATGACGTTAGTTTATTTGATATAGTACATTGTAAAATAGGATTATTTGCTAGGTAAATACAAGGGCTGGTAAACCTCCGTTCTATTTTTACCTAACTCTGTTCCTTTCTCTCTGAAAATATCATATAGTTTCCGAGTGTTACCTACACGTATTTCGATATTTTTTCCCGAAATAACATCATAGAACCAGATTTATTGATGCTTCTTCAAGAAAATATGCAGTTGTTACATAAATTACACTAACTAAGAAAGGACTACATTGAAGTTTCAACTCAAACCATAAATCCTGAAATATCCTTTAACTCAGTGGGAAGAAAGATGGCTAGTAAGTTATGAAGCCATTATTAATTCAGTTACCATGCCTCAGCTATTTTGTTATTTTGAACTAAATTGAATATCCTCAAATTTATTTACTCTTACTTTGTATTGTAATGTTCGGCGTTGTCAACGATCATGAAGGAATATTAAATCAACTTGTCATTCCGAAACTTTAACTAACTTTCGTTCCTTCACCAGGTTTTGTGGTCATATGATCTTATTAGAATACCAGAAAGATAAACAGCTGTTTAATCAACGATATACTTTATTGACTTTTGGAGAATTTTTCTTTCTGACACTTCCAAAACAACCAGTGGGAGAACCGTTTTGAGTAGGGTTTACTAGCTATGCAATTTAGTACCTTGACCAAATTTAATTAAATTTTACCGAAAATACTGGTTGGTGAAACTAGTAAAGTGGTTTGTAGGAAACCGTCGTTCTCATGAATGCTGAATTTTTATCTGTCTTTATAAACAGTTGCTACAAAAACAAATATTTAAATATAGTGCAAAAATTACTAACTCTGTTTAGTGGATGATAAGGATGGTACCTACTGCTTCAGATGATAGGAGAAAAGGTACTAGAATATATTAAAGGGATTTTGAAGTGTTAAAGAATGATCTAGCTATACTGCATGCTTGAGTTTGGTCCTATGATAGACATGTTAAAGGTTCCGTCATTCCACAAAGTCAGTTTCAAACAGTCTCAAACAGGAAGTCTTAAAATCATTAATAGTCATTGAAACATAAATATCACTCGCATATCAGAATCGATATTTTGACATCCTAAAATATGGCAGCATTGGGATTATTTATTTCTCATTCATGATGTTGGTTTTATAAAAGGAAAAGGAAAGTCAGTTATATATTTGTCATTCTCGTGATAGCCATTTTTGACAAATGTCTTGTGAGTACCCCTTTTTTTTACAGTAGGATGGTTTTCGTACACTTGTACTCATTCGTATTGCATCTTTTATCCTATTTTTCATAAATGCCTGAACCTCTAAGAGGACTTCATTTCTTATGAAATTGCAGATATATCTTACTGACAAGTGCAATGAGGCATAAAGCCTAGATTCAAAGCTTTATCCCGATTGCTTCAAGCCATGTGGTGTTTGAAGATAACGATTAAAGCGTGGAGGGCCAATGCTCTGTTGATCAAGACTTATATAGTTAACTATGTTATTTCACTGGACAAGCCTAAGCACGGTTATATCACCAGACTAATTATTCACCGTTTCTGCCAAAAGTCTTCTTGGTACACCTTGATTTTTCCTAAGCAAGTATCAAATGCGATTTTTGGCAGTGATGTATAAGATATACACTTGGCTGTTAACTTTGTCCAGTGGCTCTTTTCGAAACAGATCTCACCTTATTTTCACTAACGGTGTGAACTAAATGTGTCAGTGATTTTGAAGTAGAATTGACAATCAGCCCATCACAATTGATTTGTAAGGCGCTCCAGATATAACTAGACAGTATAGAAAAACTCACTGACTTTTTAATACACGGTGTTGCCGTTATCAAAATTTCTCAGCGAACAAAAAACGTTGACAAGAAAAGATCGACTAAATATGGAGAGCATGTGAGATGAGATTACCATAACGTTTGCTAAAAATTGGGAGTGTCATTTTGCACCAAATAGCAGATTTCAAACAGCTTGGCTTCGGGTTCTCAGAGATGGCAAGTCTCCAGAAAAGCAAAATCGAGAAAATTCGGAAAGGTGCTTAAATGAAAGAAGTGCAGAAAAGTAGGTTCTCACTTTAAAATACTTATAAGTCACTTGGGAGTAAATTACTAGTATCACCGTTCAGACTGCAACTGACCAAGCTTCTAACGCTGACAACCAGTAGTAAGGACAGGCGTGAGGAAAAATAGACAAGAAAATTGAAAGTTTGCACCTTATATACTATTTGTTCGGCCAACAGTGGTAAACTTATCTGACTTCGCAGAAATTTACCTTTTTCCCACTTCTTGTTGATGAGAATAATGCCCGGTCATATTGATAGCTACCGTTATAAAAACTGAGCAGTTACTTGATTTTGATGTCCTTCATGCTTTTAAAGACGATTTTAATGACATCTCAGATTAAGCCTTGTAAAACCGTCTGTTCTGGCAACACAAATCGATAATCAGGGGATTATTTTCCATCGGTAATCTCAGTTTGGGTTTCCCATTGTTTGAGGTTCTCTGTTTTTGATTTTGTTAATAGTAGAGTATTTCAGGAATGATTTATTTGGAAAATCTAAACAGTTACGACAATTAAACAACTAAAAATTCCAAAACCTCATCGACACACAACAGTACTAATAATAACAGTGTTAGAGCTAGATAACAAAGACCAAAATCATACTAGGATTTTAGAAAAGATAATAAAATAAGCTCTGAAATGGTACATATATAATTACTGTAGCTTTTCGTATTAATCATTGGTACCAAGTTAATATAAATTTTATCTATGATGATGGCTTCAACACTGATATTTTAGCAGGCTATTTCACAAAAGCTAACTATCCAATCGGTTATCTTTATCGCTATCCCAATAAAAAAAGTTTAACGATATCAATTATTCCCAGTTATGTACACATAAAACTGACCAACCAGGTAATAAGTTGACTTTTAGACTGAAAAAAAGCTTTACCATTCGGTAAAGAACAGTTTCTTAGAGAATGAGATAATTTTTATTACAGTAGAATTTTCACAACTGCAAATGGTTTCTAATTCATTGTCTTCCTGATTACATTATTAATATTCCATAATTACTACCATTTTATTAAAATGGAGGCGCTTTAATTTGCAAAATACAAAGTGTTTATTTAGTATTTTAAAACTCCCTAATGAAGGTCTAATTACTGTCATTATTGTTTTCTGACTAATATTAATCTACTCTTATTGAATAAAGTATTCATTGTTGATCAAAATTAACAAATTGTATCCAAAAACGTCATTATATGTTTGTCTATATATCCTAATCTCTTGTAATATTTGCAATGGCTCATTTAGACAAGAAAGTAGAGTTTGCTGAACAAGAAAATATTGAAGACTGTAAAGCATTCAGAACTGGATCTATGGGTGATAAAGAACAACGTATGAGTCGATTTAGACGTCTAACTTCTGGAAGCCTTCGTCATAAACGTCAAGCTGGTCACATGACAACAACGAAAACAGATTTAATCGACCCTACACATTGTATAGATCCATTGCATACATTTTTCAACTCTGATACAGAAGTCAGTGATTCAGGAGTACCACGAATAAACAACACTGCCTACATGAATAATGGACGCCGGCCTAAAAGATACAGACGATCATGTCGTTCTGCATATGAAACACCCAATTATTCAACTGCTTTGGGACCATTAAGAGAAAAACACAAGCTTACACCATTAGAACGTATATTCCTGGAAGCTGCAGAACGAGGTGATAAGTCAACTTTAGTCAGATGTTTATCATTTTCAAACGGCGTAAATGTTAATTGTGTAAATATTTTGGGTCGTACAGCAATTCAAATTGCTGTAGATAACGAAAATATTGAATTAGTTGAACTTTTACTCGAACAGCCTGGTATAGAAATTGGTGATGCAATATTATATGCAATTCAAGAGGGTGTATATAGGATAGTGGAGATGCTCATTGATCATCCATCCATCACGAAGGAGATGTTAGGTACATCATGGACAACACAGTGTATCGGTATCGGTAAACGTGAAGAGGAAAGCCATGATTTTTCCACGGACATTTCACCAGTTATGTTAGCTGCCATCTGTAATCAGTTCGAAATCTTACAGTTGTTGATTAATCGAGGTGCAAGAATTGAAGAACCTCACAAATCATCATGTTCCTGTGAACACTGTCATCGTTTGCTTTCAGATGATCCATTGAAACATACACTCCAACGGATAAACACATACAGAGCTCTTGCTAGTCCAGCATGGATGTCACTTACATCTCCAGATCCCATTTTAACTGCTTTTGAATTATCATCCGAGTTACTTCATTTAGCATCACGTGAAAACGAATTCAAAGAAATTTTCCTTTCACTATGTGAACAATGCAGAAAGTATGCTTGCGATTTGCTGGATTTATGTCGTGGAACTGGTGAAGTTGTCGCTGTACTCAGTAAAGGTACCGATAGTGATGAAAGCTGTAGTGATGTAAGCGGCGATGAATCCGATGATACACAAGGAGCATCTAGTGTGCCTAACATATCACTACCTATCAACCACATTTCCATAAACTGTCACTCGTCCAGCTGTCCACATCAGCAAGGAAGTCATGATAATGGTGATGCATCGAACTGTAGCCAGTGTGAAAATAATAATCAAAATTATGCGGCTAATGAAAATGATTGGCGCGAGTTACTGGATCGATCGAACTTTTCTAGAAGACGACATCATAGACGTTTCACAGCATGGAATCACTCCAGTTACTCATGTGCAAAATTTAACCAGGCTTTAAGTTTAGAAAGTCAACATAGTATAAACGAGGATTTCGTTGGCACAGACAACCTACATCCTTCTACTAGCAAGACTGAATATTTGAATTATACAGACAAATCAATAAATGACGGTGAACAGTTAAAAATCGCAGTTAGTCATACTGCTTCGTATTCAACAGCTAAATTTCCCTCTTGTATAGCGAAAGAAAAACGCAATTTTCAAGATTTTACCAGTGATAATAATGATTGTAATAATATTGGTGAAACAGATGATAAAAGTAAAGCCGTTACTAAGGAGACAATTTTGAATGAAGGTCTACCATCAACAACGAATACATCAGAAGGCTGCTCGTCTATATTTTTTGAACGTAAAAGAAATAGTTTTGACTGGGAATCTGCAACAAGTGGTTTTAACCAACGAGTTCAGCTTAATACAGGAATAGACACTACTCATTGTAAGCATGGATTATACAAAAGGAATAGTTTTAGTAATCCAAATAATATAATATGCTGCTGTTTTCCTCATTATCGATGCTGTAAGTGTTCAAAATCACAGACAAAAAAGGATCTAAGCCTAAATCGTCACAGTGAAAAGAAACACCTTAAATCTGAAACCAGTGAAATAGAATCATTTGGTGTAAAGAAGCACAGGAAATTTTATTCTTTCAAATTAGATCGCCTGAAACTGGCAATTAAGCATGAACAAAAAAAAGTGAGTAAATTTAAAGGGATACTTACTACTTGAGCAATTTATTCCAATTCAGCTAATTTTTTGCAAGTATCCATTTTAATTAGTACTTTGACCAGTCTTTAACCCTTTTTTAAAAGCTAATAATGGTAAATCTCCTATAATTAGTTGGGAGATTTTAATTTAATAAGTGACTAAGGTGAGATTTATATGGTAAATTATTGAAATATAGCATCTTAATATGTGCAGATATTTCTTCAAATTTTTGTTATTAGATATCTATTATGCAAAGTAACATGCATTTCCAGCGATTACTAACACCTAACTGTGATCAAAAGAGGAAAAATTAACTGTTAATAACATAATTGAGGGAGTTACATTTTTGTCCATTTTGTTATTTCTTTTCATCAAGCATTCGTTAGTTACCTACCTCCATATAGAAATCATTTGAATATCTGCTACTTCAGTGTGAATTTAAAACATGGTCTGTTTGAGTGAAAAATGTGTAAATTTGAATACACAATGTATCTTGAAATTCAGAAGGCTGAGATAAAGCTTTATGATGCCAAATTTTATAGATACCGCAAATTAGGGTTATATATTAGTTCGTCTATTTGGTAAAACAGACAGTAGGTGTGTTATTAGTTTGAAAGCTTTCATGGTGCAAGTTACCACTTTTGAAAGTCATTTTAACTGTTAACTCATATCAGTTGGACAATTATTACAAATCAGAAAACCCTGGGTAGTTGCTTCGTCTCAGCCTAGTGATATTATACCATAATACGATGCGTAGTTTTGTAGCGGTAGCCTATTGTTCACTAATAGGCTGCTATTTGTTTATTATATGTAAATAAGTACGATTGTATAGCTTTTAAAAATGATCTGGTCGGGGAAAATGTTTTCTGGGCCGAATCATCTTCTTTCTTCATTTAAGTTAAACAAGTGTAGAAAATGCAGCTTATCACTTAGCAGTCATGTCCAAACTTCACGAAAATTTTTCACTTTTCAAAGGCAAGCTACTCAAGAAACTGACAAAATTAACAAAACATAACTGTGTAGAAGCTAGATTAAGAAGAAGAAGTAAGACTGTATGGGAAAAAAAGCGTTTGTTGATTAGATTCACCGAAAAATGGCTTAGTTGGTTCCTAAAAGCTTACAAACAAACACAAGCTAACCAGAAATTAAATTGATGAGTAGGCAGTTTGATTCATGTTATACGAAGACGTGGAAACCACTTAAAAAGTTGACAGCGACACCAACTGTGGACAAATACACTTATGGGATGAACAGAAATATTCAATCAGTAAAATATGTTGATTACCGGTTGACCGAAAAGTTCATGTATTCAACGCTATGTACACAAAATTCAAATCTGGTCACCTATTCTGCCTGCCTTCTCTATCTTACATAAATTTTCCTCAGATGTTTGTAGCGACAAAATCACCGGTCGAAGAGTAATTTTGGTTGTTTCTATCGAAATAACAGATGATCCTAATTGTATGCATTCTTGTAAGTCGTAAATACCATAGTATGACTATAAACTTGGAAGTTTTAAACAAGCTTGATGTCAAATAGAAAAGATGAAATGCTTATAGGTCATAATGTAAGCCGTATTATCGCAAAAGAATTCTTTACAGCAAACTAAACCCATATTGAAAAGATAGGGGAAGTGGATTAACTGGTTCTGATAGTCACACTGACTGAGTACCTCGGTAACCAAATTTTCACTGGGAGCTGCACTCACTGAAAATGAAGACGTACATATTTAATTATCGTTTAGAAATTCCTAGTGTCTGTTATTTTCTACAGACAAAAGCGATACTTTATTGTAAAGTTTCTTTGCTCTTAACTATATTTCATTTATGAAACAGAGGATAAAATGATAGTTAATCAGTGTGCTACTGTTTTCAGTAGGGTAGGAACTTGAGATATTTTAATTTTCACGTATAGACCGTCTACAAACTGAATCTCGATGGACGACTTTAATCTAGACTTTAATCTTAGATTTATTTACCGTAGATTCCAAGAAATCACGCAAAGTACCGTTACGTTTAGATATTTTTAAAATTCCTAATTTTTAAAGTGACGGCTGAAGCTGAGTGTTACATTCATCCCATAAGCCTGATATTCAGTGTTTATATCAACGATATCAACAGTAATTTTGTCTTTAGGATTACAATGTGAAAGTAATTTCATGTTCTTAACACTGTTGAGTAGTCCTACTATATTATGCAAGAACCATGCATATTGAATGATATCGTTTAAGATCTTTGGAACATCTGTACATATCTTAACCATCGCAAAACATCAGCTGTAAAGACAGACGGGAATAGTTTCAACATTCCAAAACAGAAAGCGCAGTCACATCTCATATGGTACAGTATTAACAAATCATATAGGAATAACAAAAGTTTGTATGAACTATCATTATCTCTTATACATGGAATGGATACCGAGTCATTTCTACTGAGTATATTTAGTGCTGATTAGGTCTACGGAGATTAAGTTATCGGTCCTTTCATCAATCCGACCAATTTAATTTTTATTGTTGTTGCTCTATTCCTTGCATAGTGTGACTGTAAGTTATCACAGGCACACCGAAAGGTGAGCTGTTTTCCGTATATCCTAACGTAATAGAGTTTACCAGTTTAGATTTAGTTAAGCTTCTATTCTCAAACACCTTAGTTAACCCTGATTGACTAATATAATCAGTATACTTGACCTTGAAATCATTGAAAAGGGGTTTTATAAAATAAACCATTTTGCCTAATTGAATCAGTGGGATCAGTAAACTGCAAAGTTTGTTTCTAATTTAGTCTGCAGGATTAAATGCCACTGTAACTCCAGCGTTATTCTATATCCCACTAAGTGTCTATGCGGTACTCCTCCTTCATAGAGTAATACAGTGAAGGTTTTGACTTCCGTGCCCACAGTGTTATCACCTTTACTAACATCTGTGTTGCTACGTGTAGTCTTTTCTTCCTTTTGGCTGCTAATGGATTTATCGGTCTATTTAAGACAGTAATTATTGTTGAGTAGTCTTTCCAACATGTAAGACTACTTGTATCAAATTTTCTGTCCCGCAAATATGAATTTATCCTTCTAACTAAAGCATTTAATGAAGCTCACCTTAATAAACATAGGGTAAAGTTATGTAAAGGCTTAATAACTATTCGACTTTTCACTGACACCAGATTCGAAACTCCCATCGTGTTTTGTTTTGTTATGAAATCCAATATAGTTAAATCCCCTTCACTAGTCCCTTATTATTAATCATATTGGATTACGTTTCCTACTAAATTTAAATGTACAACAAGCATTTCGAGGTATGTAGAAACTGTCCTGTAAATCTAAATGGCTCTATTACACATGTCACACGGGAGGAGGGCAAATCAAGTGAAATACAATCATATTCTATCACACCACCCAAATCTCACGCCTACTAAGTAAAGTGAAATTAGTCAAGTGAAAGGGAATGGAAGAAAGATAGAGTTATATACGTGGAGAAGAGTAAGCAGTTGATGTTTATCTCAAACATTCACACAACTTTAGTTGGGATCCTGCACGTTTAAGGATTAGAAACATTTTCAACCATTTTGTTGCAGGTTCTCACCTTTCTTGACATTTAATAGCACTACTTAGGACATATGTGAACTATGTTCATTCAGATTTTAGGTCAGGTCGCTAGCATAACGATGGTGCAACAGGATTATTCTACTTGGATTTGAAGTGTAGTCTATTCTAGTGATAAAACTTTGTACAAAATTAATAAATATTTGTCCTTACCCAGATTAATGATGCTGTCATACACAGCTAAATAAAAATGACTACTTAAACAAGCCAGTACCAGTGTACGAAGGTTGCTTTTGTTAGCGATGGTAAGAAGCTAAGGAAGTGTGTTTCAAGGCTTATTTAGGAGAAACACTTCACACACGTGGCTTATGATTAAAGCTGTTTATCAATACGTCTTTATTGGTATTGTTAACAAAGTGTACATTATTTTCATGCATACTTGAGATTCCCCTTTCTTTGACGATAAAAAAAATTTACGAATTGAACAGTAATATTACTAGTCCATACTTTTCCCTGTACTCACTTGCTCACGTCATATGTCAGTATTCTTAGATGCGTTCGTGTATATATATGTATATATCTTTGTAGTCGCTTATTTACATCTGTCACAAACTATGTGCAGGTCTCAAATGCTTCTAAATTACTTCTCTTATTAAGTAGTTAACTTTCATGCAAATATGATCACTTTTTGTTATTAACTTTCAACGGAATTCATGAAAATCAAACCATTTGAAATCACGCAATAATTATTTCTGTTTAAAATTAATTCAAATCTTTGGAATAAGAAGTTTTCTGTTTTTTATGCTTACATCTTCTTATGTGCGTGTGGTAGTGGACACAATTCTGCATATTTTAACCCAGTTTTCTTTAGTTTAATAGCCTACTTTTTATTTGACTCATTGTTTTGGTCCTCTATATTCATTTACTCGATCACCAATACGCCCTAATCAAGAACGACCTGTGAGTGTGGTTATGTCTTACATTCTATTTTTTTCCTATTATTGTTTCATCTGACAAGCCAGCCTTGGTTCCTAAATGATTGATTTCCAGTAACTGTCCTATTTTAATGTCTCAGTATCAAGGATTTTAAATGACGCCAGTGATGGGAACAGTAGTTATTCCACCTTCGACTGTGCAACTGAAAAGAGTGACTAAAATCAAAATGATATGTCATTTCCTGCGATATTTAACAAACATGAAACAGCCTCTTAGAATCTAGAAATTTTTTTCAGAAGTGAATCAAATTACAGTGGTATGAAGTATTTTTAATGATGCTGCTTTTAATTATTTCGTTTCCAATTTTCTACACTCTAACAACTTTGATATTAACATCTACGTTATTCACGATATGCAGTAAGCTGTGGCTGAATAAAAGTGCTTCATATAATTTGAGTTAGATGACCTTAAATGTGGCGCAGATTAACTGCTCAGATAAGAGTTCTCTTAGAAGA